TTTCCCTTCTTGTATTCAAACAGCATCACTTACCGAATGTATGTCTCGTCGTGTGCCACCACTATAAGGATTAGAGTATACTAAACTTTACACATTATATAGGCTACACTAACGTGACGTTATGGCGGTTCATTTAACTATTATACGTATGTACGTTTTTTGGAGGGTGGGTAATGAAAGTGTTCCAAAACGCGACAGTAATTTCTTGATGACCTAATACTGTTTGATTCAAGTTACTATCCTATCCCCCCAATAACCTATGTATTTTTTTTATATAAAACAATATAAATTCACATGAATTGACCTTAATAGTTTTGACATAATCTTTTGAATTTCGGACTTTTTTTTATAAATTGTAAGTTTATTTCAAGAGCTTCTATGTATTGTCTCCTGCATCTTTTACTTTTTTTATTTCTTAGTCTTAATAGTTTAATGACTCATCTGACTACTGAAAGATATAAATCGTAAAATGGCCACTTAACTTTCATTAAAGTTTTCTATATCAACGTGTCAGTTTCATTTTCCAATGGAAGTTCGGAACATGTTTAAAACTAATTTCAAAGTTATTAAACATTTGACTGAATTACTCATTAATTTTATATTGGCTAGTCAAGCTGTATACATTGACTATAAAGGAGAGTGGGTGGGGGGTATTTTTACTCTGGATTCATATACTGTATTTAAGCCAGACATGTTATTATTTTTTTAGAAATTTAGTGCAAAGCTACACAAGAGACTACTAGATGGTAGGCAGCTAGGCCAATCGTCACCTCTTGTAAGACCGAATAGTAGTATTTTACTGTCACTTTTATAGCACACCAATGACACAAAGTGCGGAGCACGTTTCAGCGGCAATGCTAGTTTAGACTAAGGCTGCGTTTTGTTTCTTATAGCTGACTTTGAACCAACAACAAACTAATAAAACAGTTTTCTTGGGGATAGAAAATGTATTGATTGGTTACAAATGGAAGTTAGCTTTAGCATTACTTTTACACATAGTAACGTTGTAACACCAACGAAAAACTTCGCCTGCTTGTCTTAAAAGTGGTTTTCAATGTCTATTTTCATCTTGGACCATTATCCGGTAAAAGTGAATGTGTGTGTCCGGTTACAACGGACAGACCTACCATCATCAAACCTTGCATGTACCCTGTGATCCCTCAGAGAGTAACATAAGAAGGTCAGCATTCAGAAATCTGACCCCACCCCCTTGCGTTGAATGGATACATCGGTAAGTATTTACAAAAAAGAACAGCAGTTGTTGTGCATCTGACATTATAATTTGTACAGTATAACTCAAAGTCGACATTTTGGATTACTTTGGTTTTTATAACCTGATTTGTTTGTAACAACGGAATAAACAGATGCAAGTAGAATTAGTGTCGTCTTGCTGACTCTACAAAAAAAACACACAAACATAATCTGATTAATAGGCTGAGAATGACTAAGCTGTCTTCTAAGTGTGGTCTACTAGAAAACCTGTTAAACTACAGAGTATCCGTTACTTTTATAAGGTCAGCTTTTCGGAATTTTATCTAATACGTAATACTATAATAACTAAATTTTTAGCTTATCTTTCGTTGTTAGTTTTGTTTTAGCACAAAGCTACACAATGGGCTATCTCCACTCTGTCCATCGCGGGGAATCGAACCCTGGGTTTTAGCATTTAAAGTCTGCAAATTTACTGCTTACACACCAGCGGATATACAAGTTATGAATTTTTTTCCACTTTCAGCCTGTAACGTTAGCCGTTTGTCCAATGAAACTTACCATATGTTCAGTATGTACTTAAAAGCGCAGAAACTGTACCTGTTCATATCGTATTTCTCACTAGATTCATAACACACACTTGTTGTTGTAGTAATCAATATATTTTAATCCGCAGAACATGTTAAGAGTCAAATAAAACGGTAGAAATGCCATTTCCATACAACTTTCTAATTGCATTTCTAGTAAACGATATTGTGAAAACCTTATACTGATAGTTATATACCATACACGGAAACTGGAATTTTTATTCTGAAGGGCACCTTATTCACATGTGGACTTAATGGGTAGGCATCAGGCCAGAGAGCACTTGCTGCCACAAGGGCACTGTGCAGCTCTTTGAACAGAGTAACGGATTGGTTGTCTGCCACTTTTAATACACACCCATAGTTAATAACGTAGAGTATTCAATGGCATAACGTTTCTAACCCTTGACCTTTCGATATAAAGCTTGATATGTTACCTACTAGGCCACGTTCAGCTCATATGTTAAACACACAATAGAAGTTTAGAACCTAAAATCAGTACCAAGCTTATGTAACAGCCAATAGAAGTTTAGTACCTAAAGTCAGTACCAAGACTATGTAACAGCCAATAAGTTTAGTACCTAAAGTCAGTACCAAGACTATGCAACAATCAATAGAAGTTTAGTACCTAAAGTCAGTACCAAGACCATGCAACAGTCAATAGAAGTTTAGTACCTAAAGTCAGTACCAAGACCATGCAACAGTCAATAGAAGTTAGTACCCAAAGTCAGTACCAAGACCATACAACAGTCAATAGAAGTTTAGTACCTAAAGTCGGTACCAAGACCATGCAACAGTCACAATCCTTGAGGAGTCATCATTATTTAACATGGGTGATAAATAAATTAAACCAAATGGTATTTGACTGAAATACAAAATATAATCTGAATGTATCAAAGTTTTAATAAGACCACTGAATATTTATTAAATATACATCATAATTATGACTACAAGCCACAGAAAAAGAAATCAGTACACTATTGATACAGCTTAATATCAAATTTACAGAATTTGACTGCACATGAACAGGATACACAGGCTAAGATGGTATTCCTGATGCATAATAGTACACCAAATTTACAATAAATTATTGAAAACAATCAAATATTATAAGAATCACAACTTCCAAAAAGAGTTTCTTACTTCAGTATGTTGAAGTATATGACAAGAAAGTGTTGTTAGTTGTCTTCTGTAAGCAGTGCGTTAATAGCATTTATTATATTACAATATAAGACAAACTACTTAGAATACAGGAAAAACTAGTGTTAAGAATTTATTTTTTTGTTAGCATTATTCTTTAATTTATGGTGTTGACAGGGTGTCATCTGCAAGTAGTGCCTTCATAAAATGTGTTATACTTGAAAGTAGATTATCAAAATGGTTGGCAGCTGGTTTTTTTTGCTAAAAGGGCTCTTCTAGGATTTCTTACACAACAGCAGGTGAGAAACTACTACTGATGATTGGATTATGCTGTACTTGTTTCTCCTAAAGTCACACAACAGGAATGAGTAACAGTCTTAGGAAGTAAACTTGTTCCTTTCCTTCTGGAAATTATTACACTGGAACAGATGGGATAGAGTTAATGTCTGCAGCCTTACTTCCCAGAAATTTATCATTCTCGGATAGAGGCAAAATTGCTACTGGAACTCCACAGTCAGCTTACTTGATCTATATATGATTTACACAGATTACCACACATAATGGTTATCAAACAAGGAAAGAGAGTTAATGTCAACAGTGATTACTAGCATACTCTAAGCTCAAATTAATTATAAAAAACTAATCAGTTTGTTAAAACAAAATTAAAAGTGGTTAAATTCTTTATATCATTTTTACATATATTAATTAAAGTCTTAGAATGTTTAAAACTTAGCAGAAAACAATTTTTTCTCTACATTTAAGATACAAAGACTTCTTTTTCAGGGTAGGAACAATAAGCTTCTAAATTGCAATAAGATATTGTCATTTTAAACCAATGTCACATAAATTCCCTGCCTAACATTATGAAGAAAGTATTCTTATAATATTTTATAATCTATATTCAAAACAACATTGACTACAAACACTCGGTAAGATTCCATGATCAAGAATTACATCAGTATCTTCTATCTTTAAGCAACATACTTAATACAGAAACCAGTTACAGCTCTTGAGAATAAACCTTGTTAAACAAAGTCTCCTTTCTTTAACTTTTAATTTTAGCAATTAAATTAAAAGCATTTCCACTCCTAACCTCTGGTGCTTCTTTGAAGGACATCATCCAAGAATCTTTAAAGATTAGTGTAACATACTTCAGTAGAGGCTTACCAATTTCCTCATCATTTAAAAAAAAACCTAACTTGAATAAAAACTGAAGTAATGTAAAATGTACTGTAATGGAAAATTATTCCAATCCAAAATAAAATAGAAAATATGACTGATTAGATAAATATCAAAACCATTTTAATAAAAACATAGATAAATGAAATACAACCAATAAACTGTGTGGAAAATAAAGCAATTCAAATTATCAGCTGACCTCAAAGCTCAAAAGCTAATACAACCAACAATGATCTAAAACCTGTTAAAGTAGCAAAATATGTTATCATCCTGAAAGCTCTGACCTCTCAAAGGTTTTTAGGTCTGAGATTTTAATTTGGTTCTTTTCCTGCTAAGTTGCTGGCACCAATGAACAACCCAAGCTACTATGCTGTAAAGAAGGGTTGTAGAAAACTTTCTACAAGTCACTATCCCAAATGACTTCCTATTTTAAAACATACTTTACAAGTACTTGATGCTTTTGAATATAAATAAATATATGAATACATAAATAAATTGTGTTGAAATTGTACAAAATATTGCTAAATGTCTGCCTAGATATAATTTGGATTTGAAATTTTGAAGTAAAATCCATGTTATATACAGTCACACCTTTAACAATGTTTTATCCAACTTCAAATCTAATCTATATCTAGTATGAATTCAGCAATATTTTAACAAGTTTCAAATCAAATTAATATATAGTCAAACTTTTAACAATATCTTATCCTGCTTATATCTGGTGAGACATTTGGTAATATTTTATCATTTTGAATCCAATTTACATCTAATTGGACATTTAGCAATATTTTATTAAGTTTTATATCCAATTTATATCTAGTCAGACTTCTTAACACATTTTACTTGATATATATATATATACAAACAATAATTCCAGTTTAAAATCCATGAGGTACATTTAACAATGTTTTATACTATTTATAGACAGTTCAAACACATGACTAAAAAGTAATCTACAAAAAAGAATCAAGAACCAGTGAAGTCACATACATTTTGCAGCAGAAGAATTTTGGGATGACGAATACCAGAAAACCAAATTTCCTGTATTTTCAGAGTTTAGTAGCAGGCACAAAAGATAGATTAAAAAACCACCAGACATATTTGACTATTTGAAAATGAAGAGAAGAGAAAATATTATAACAGTATGACTGTCTAATGAAACTCATGTGATTATAGTGCTTAGTACTATATAGTGTTTTTATCTTTTTTCATTTATTAGCAATAATCACATTACCTTCTGTAATCAAGCAGATAGGTTATACTTTTCCTTGCAATGTCTGCAAGAAGTTATCATCATCTTTTAGGGGTGGGGGTGGAGATCTCCAATAGGTGAAAGAGCTGAATTCTTCAGCAGATGTGAAACAGGGATCTAACCGCCCATCTTCTCGGTGCTGACTTTGGAGTGGAGGGAACATGTAATCCACAACATCACTCAAGCTAGTGTATCTAAAAATTCATAAATAAAAAAAGGTCTAATACTTGCACAAATATAAAGTTCAGGTCAGAAAAATGTTCCCAAATAACCTTATACTGTTAACTAAAAAGTCAGAGCTCCATAAACAAGGTCTACTTCATGTATCCTTTTCTCCTCATATTTGCTTAATGGTTAGTAACACATGCGACAAAGAAAGATCTATGTTCTTGTGACCAATAACAAGGTTCCCCATGTGTTTAGAGTCTCTCTTTCATTGTTTTTTCAATGTTGGGATACATGGCCAATTGTTATATCTAGAGACAAGCATTTATTCATTTTCACCAGTAAAAATATTGCAAATGTGTTTGGTGTTCCTAGCTCTGAGTGTATCCTGAACTTAAAAATCTTCATTGAAAATGTAAGAAGGAATACAGAAGGTCTGAAATTTGTAGCATGTTGCTCAACTAGTAAAAATAAGTGCAGAACCTTTACAAAGACAATATGATAAAAATATGGGAATCAGCTGACCTGTAGGGAGGCAAAGCAGTTAACAGGTGAGTGCTAGAAAAAGAGCAAATAGGATGAAGCCAGTATTAACAGACATCAAACTGTGAACAAGGAAGGCACATGAATATTGCCCAAACACAAACTCAGAGATTTCCCTAAGAAAAGCACTATGGTGGACTACCTAGGAAGGATCATAACTCAGAACAAGACTGATTAATTTCAAGCTATTAAAACATCATAGAAATAATGCTGGCTCTAAGCAACTTTAAAAAGATATTGAGAACCTACAATCTAAAAAAGGTCACTGGTATGTTTAAAATACAATAATTTAAAAGTAATGATTAAAATAGCAAAAGCTGGTGAAGTACAAGAAAGAAATAGGCCTAATATTTTTTGATTAAAACCACTTATATTACCATTTCAGAGAAACTTTTGTCTCTCATAGTCCAGCTCAACTAATGAATTCTGGTATTCACTGAAGGGCAAATTGGACAAAATATAGACCTGATATGCTATTGTTGCATGCCTCTGATTTTGAATCTGAAATGTACAAATTAATAGGAATGTGTGAAAAAACATCTGCAGTTTACATGATTTTTATCACAAATATTAGGCCTACTCATTTCTAATGCTCTGCCAGCAACGTGGCACATACAGATCCCAGCTAGTATGCAAATCAATACTCCTGTGCAGACATAATATAATGAAGATGTTGATTGGTAATTTATGTGTTACTACAACACAATAAAATTGGTAATAAATGTAATCACATTTTATTTTACTGGCACTATACATGTTACCAGTTAAAACAATAACAAACAAACAGCATTTCAACTGAACATTTTGAATACTGCACACCACAGCTCATGAGACTTTTTGCTCACAGCACTGGCTCACACAACAAAAAAACAAAAGCAACGAAATTCACAATACTATTCATGCAAAAAACAAATTGATGAGTCCCTGTACTTCCTCATAACAGACTCAAAATTTGAAGAAAGCAGATGCATGTGTAGAAAACTTCTTGTGTTGAAAGAGATCATATAATTATAAAGGTATGACATTTTTTGGAACAAAAGGCTCATATAAGCAGTTGGTCTTTACAAAGATGTTAAGAGATTCTGCATACCTTTCAACAAATTGTTTTAAACTACAAACTGGCAATTGTTTCCTGGCTGATGTCTAATTTACCCTTTACAAAGTATCATCATTTTAATTATCAATTCCACAAAACACTTAATCATACTAATGTCACATTAGATGTTGGACAATAGCTAAATGAAATTAAGTTTTTCCTTGAACAATCTAAGTTTTTTCTTCTGTTCCTAAGGTTGTATTATACAATTAATCAAACTACAGACTTTAAGAGAAACAAGTTATAATTTTATACATCATGGATTTGAAGGAATTGATTCCAAACTATCAAACCTAAGTTTCAACACATACATTGCAAACATTAGAACTTCTACACTTTCATTGTTAAGGTACCACACTATATTTAACACACACTTTAAGGAATGAATGCTACATTATAATTAATAGCACAAGTGTGATTCTATGCTTTCAGTAATGATGGATCACTTTATTCAGTACATACTTCAGGAAAAGTTATCTGAAATATATATATATAAATATATATACATATAGAGTGATAAAAGTAACTTTATGGATTATATTGAAAACTGACACAAGTTAAAGAAATGTTAATAGAATAATAAATAAACAATTTACAGTAAACAGTTAACACTAAAATACTTATTATTAGAACTGACTAATCAAAACTAACTTGTTTTGAAACAACTTAATTCCTCTGTCAGGTTTAAGTCTCTGTTAGTTTTATTTATACATGTACTAAGTATTAAATTGTAGGTTATGAAAGCTGCATTGTTTATGTTGTCAAACACATAAACAATGAAAAACATTACTGTATCTTGAGTTTAAAAAAAAAACCTCCAAAAATAATAATGACATACTTTTTTTTCAGAAGTAATTAGTTTATTAGCATTGCTTCTAATGGACAAAGATTACAGGAAAGTATACAAGAAATAAATTGAATAATTTGTACAGGGTTGAGTGTGTTATATTAAAACAATTTTGAATAAACAATTCAGCAAGTCATGTCACAACCACACTCTATATAGAATCATGGTGGAGTGACATATATTGGAATTACATTTTTACATTGTGTATGTAGTGTGATGCTGCCGAAAAGTGATCAATTTTGTAACTACCCTTTCCAATGCTATGGTAAGCAAAGTGCTGCATCTTGTAACAGGTTAGAATCCACAAACATAGAGGTCAACAGCAATAGCCGTCCAAATGTCCCAGGAAACAGTACACAACATAACCAAGAAGGATCTCCATTTGAATACAAGGGTAACAAAGTATTGGTTCAACAAGATAAGACTTCCAATCATACCTCCCATTCAACAGTCATATACCTAAAGCAGATGGAGAATGAAATGGGTATTCATGCTATTCCATATGAAAATGTATCAGCCAAGTTGCTGAATGCAGAACCTATGGATTTATGTTCAATCAGACAGTTCAAACAGCAAAGGGAAACTACTGTCCTTGAATGGTTTGGTTTATTATTATGAATTTCGTGCAAAGCTACACGAGGGCTATCTGCACTAGCCATCCCTAATTTAGCAGTGTAAGACTAGAGGGAACACAGCTAGTCATCACCACCCACCGCCAACTCTTTTACCAACGATTAGTGGAATTGACCGTCACATTATAATGCCCCCATGGCTGAAAGGGTGAGCATATCTGGTGGGACGGGGATTCAAACCCGCGACCCTCAGATTGCGAGTCAAACACCCTAACCACCTGGCCATGCTGGGCCTCCTTGAATGTTAGATGGATTATGGAAAACATGCAAGGAGAAGTATTGTACTTTGAACATGACAGTCTTATGATGGGAAATTTTTGCAATGGACACTAAACTGCTGGGCTATTGTCAAGATGCATGGTTATCAGATAGAGCACGACTGGATGTTGCGACATAGACTGTAATGATGTGGTGAGACTCCAAACTAATATATAAAGTACTCAACCTTCTGTACTTAAAATAGGTTCTTATTTATAATTAGAAACATATTTGACTAAGAACTTTGTAAAAGGATGATGTTTCAGAGTTTGAAGTCTATACATAATACAAGGTTTCACTTTGAACACCAAAATATCACATTTATTAGAACTTTTGCTAAAAAGTTTTTTCTTTTACAAGAACAAACAAACATGCACAAAGGGTACTTACGAAGACTGGAAATTCTGCATCAGGTCTAGTTTCAATTCTCCTCTATGGTTAATTGTAAAGATTCTAGACACAGGAACTTTAACTGCTTTATATGCCCACGTGTCCTGCAGAACAGAAAATCGGTCAGTTATTATAAATTCAGTAGAGGTGTTTTACAAATTTCGATCAAACTAGGTTATGGAAGAAGTCTTACTTATATCTGACAAACATGTTAACAAAGCCAACAGTCTTTTAAAATACCTCCAACATCTACGATTATCAAAAACTTGCAACTAGTAACTTTAACCACACACAAGAGCTTTCACTGTCTGTTAAGTTTGTTATCTCTAGTAATTAGTTATAAAGTTAAAATATTGCTACTTCCAATCAATGAATGTAAAACAGGACTTGCGCTATCTACCAAATTCTATGATTTTTTGTAACTAGTAATATATTACCATCAGAACCTCCTAAAGTTAATAAATTATTACAATACAATTGTTAAAAATACAGGAATTCCATTATCTACCACAACTGATACATTGTTTCTAATATTTATCTGTCCTTTAAGTATTTCCAAAACTTATCAAAGTTAATACATTATCAATATCGAATTTTAAGCAGTAGACTATGCAATAACAGAGAAAGTAAAAAGTTTTGTTATCATGCAGTAAATAATACAGTGATGAATTAAATATAGCTGTAAACAAGCAGTAAATGTTACAGTTATTAAAAAGTAACATCTGTTGTACAGCAGCAAAACATGATGTCAAGCAATAAATAAGAGAAATACAGTAGGTATTGTAGAAGTTAAATGTTAGATATAAATAAAAGTAACTGATGTCGTCATACAATAAACATTGCAGTAAAAACAAAGGTGCAAGTGCATTCATTAAGTTGTACTGTTGAAGGGAAACACTGCAGTCAGCCAGTAAACGCTGGTGAAATGAAAAAACAGTAGATGTTGTCATGCAGTAAAATTCTGCAGTAATAAAAACGGAACAGCTGTGACCATACAATGATTGGTGCCCTAGTTACAAAGGAACCTGAGTAGTCACCCAGTAAAGATGAAACAACAAGTCAGTAAATGCTCCAGTAACAAAGACAAAATAGGTAAATGCGAGCAGTAAATGTAAACGAAAATGCAAAAATTGTTAGACAGTAATAATAAGAGCAACATGAATTGTTAAAAATGAATAATAAATATAGTAATCCAGTAAATGTTATAAGAAACCTGTTGTAATTTGTTTTCGTTTTTTTTTTAGTTGATGAAGCACCAGCAAGGGTTGTTATGTGGTGAATGATAAACTAATTATGAAATAACAGGTGAAGTTGTACAGAAAACACTGCGGTTATGTCTAGTCAAACAGTAAAGGTAATAACAACGAAGGTGAGATAATTGTTAGGGTAACGAGGAAGTAAAAAACGGATTTTTATACGGTAAATAATTCAGCAGTAAAGAATAAGCAAGTGTAAAATAGTCAAACGTGTGTATTTCTATAGTAAATGTGTCAAAAATGTTTTACTAATACAGTAACAAAAAACATAATGACAAGACAACAGAAAAGTTTGAACGTGCAATACGTTACAGTAAAAACGAATTACTGTAATTTGATGGAATAATAAGTGTTTGTACAAAACAATGGTTTTCATTCATTGGTGGGAATTTAAATGTAATAAACACCACCAAGAAACCTCTGTTTGGCTGTGTTTATGATTCTACAACATGAAAGATGTGTGAATTTTATTGTATTTATGATTATATCAGTTGTTTTTAAATAACACTTGACTTAGCGCTTTCTTTCAATGAAAGAAACTCTTCTTCACATACCAGTGTTTCTGGGTTCACTCGAGACTGTTGAGGTTACTCCAGTTTTCTGGAAAATTATCAATAGAAAGCCCGAAAACAATTACGAGTAAAAGGGCTTGAATATTCTGGTCACATGATCTAATAACGGACTGATTTCCCTTAAGAAACCCGGATGTGGGCCAAAAATAACAAGACTAGGAACCGCCCACGGTTACACGAAGTTACTTGTGCCTTGCACAAACCAAGGAAACGCGCCTGTATAATGCGCTGTAGAAAAACTTCACTTGATATTGGTAGCACGTTGGACCTAGTTTCTCGAAAATGAATAAACATTACACTGTTACCGGGACTTAACATAAACAAGCTTATACAAGAATGATTTAGCACTTTCTCACGTTTACTGCGTTTCCAAGGATATCTTGTAGGTCACTTGTCAAGAGAAGATGTGTAATTATAATGAATACTGATGTCATTACACCAGCAATAAAAACAATCTACCGATAACATATTTACCAACATAACAATTAACTTTATATTTGCTTACAAGCTGCCATCCCCAATGTGCAATCTAAAAATTCGTTTAGTGACCTGTCGCTAATAAGATGACGTCTCAACACACGTTCTCGAAACAGCTATTGTCAACAAATGTAATTACTAAAACGGGCCTTTCTTTACCTTCTCGATTGGAAGGCTATACTTTTTATTGGCGTATCGTCCTCAGTATATTAACGACAATGCAGTCCTCTTATTAAATATGGCGAATGTTTAAGTTAATTATAAAATGTTTACTGAACTTTTATTATCACTGTGTCAAAGGAAGTACGAGTGTTAGTTTGATGAAAATTCATTATGGGTGAAGTGAATAACCAAACAATTTTTTGTTGTTGCTAAAACCGTTGACATTCAGTCAGCACTGTGAGAAGTAAAAAAAAAAATATGTGGAGAACAAGTGTCAATGAGTACACATGTGTTTTAAAAAATGTTTTTAAGAAAGTAATTTCCCGAAATGTATAATATTCTTGTTTTAAAACATAACTCTAACAATGCTAACAACATAGATTTAATGTATGTTATTTCTGGAGAGAATTAATAAAATATGTTAGAACCGATAAACTCACTAAAAACTGCCATTCAATAACCCTTTCCCTCACCTCACCCCCAGTGGCTAAGTGTTAAGTCTGTAGGCTTACGACGCTAAACATCCGGTTTTGATACCCGTGGCGGGCAGAGCACAGACAGTCCATTGTGTAACTCTGTACCTAATAATAACTAATCAACCAAATTCAATAACCCAACAGATTAACTCGACTCTTACAGTTTGGAAACTAAAGCCATCAAATGATACTTTCCAAACGTATGAGCAACATTTCAGTTCAAGCAAGTGAAAACTTTAGAGCAAAGCCACATTGGTCTATCTGATGTATCCACCGAGGGGAATCGGACGCCGGGTTTTAGCGTTCTAAGTCCTTAAATTTACCGCTGTCCCACCGAGAACAACAGAGAGAGAGAGAGAGCGAGAGAAGAGGAGAAATTCTACAAAATACTATACATGTCTTTTCATATCAAGAAAAATCATGTTTTTGGCGCACAAAAGCAATAGTCAGGACTATAACATGAAAGTGTTTTTTCACGAAGAAACATACAATTATTTAAATTAGTTCTGTCTAACTAATGTATGTGAAATTATTATCTAATTATACCCCCCTCCGCCACTAGGAGGACACGGCGAATGTTAGGGAAATAACCAGATCTCATCATCCTTGTAACTCGTACTTTTTTGTAACTGTTCGGAAATTAGTCACAAACTGAGATTTCCTTACAAAGTTATAAACTAAACATTAAAAAAGTAGGAAAACCCGTTTCCATGCTTGCTGCAATGTTACACCACCAATAGACTTCGTGTTTGTTTATTGAGTTTAGTTTTGAACAGGTCAACAGTAGAATTACTGAATATAATGCTAAAAACTTCATTAATGACGTCATTATACGTTACAAACTTCAATAATACTTCATTTCAGCGAATAATTAATGAATTTGGTAAACTTTAACGAACGATATATCTATATAACAATATTGTAAATATCTATACCTGCTACACAGCAGCAACAATAAAACCAAAACATGTAATACACGCTTTGTTAGTTTCGGATATTTGCGCAAGGTACACAAGGTCTGTGTGCACTAACCGCCCCTAATTTTGAACTGATAGAAGGAAGGTAGCTAATAAAGAGCATCCACCGCCAACTCTTGCCAAGACGATTAGTTGGATTTGAGGTCAATCTCGTGCCGCAAATGCGGAACGCGTTTTCGAGGCAACGGAACGAGAGCCATGAACCTTTGGATTCATAGTCCGGGAACGCTAGCCTCTGGGCAACGCCCTGCCTAGAACTTAAAGAAAATTCCAGTTAGAACCGGTTCTTCGTACTTGTCGCAATGCATTTGTATATTACTGTTTTTGTTTTATGAGATAATTTGTTAAACTTGTTCTACGCAGGTCAGCTGCAGAACAGACAGATACAATGCAAAAAACTTCGTTACAGTAAGTAATGTCACTATTACACACCACAAGCTGAACCCTAACATCTCTAGAACAATCAATGTGTACATGATTCACTGTATAAACTTCAAAATAGAACATTTTGTTTTTGTTATTTTAAGCACCAAGCTACACAATGGGCTGTCTGAGCTGTACCCATCACAGATATCGAAACTCGTGTATCTGTGTGTTATAAACCTCCAGACTTTCTGCTGAGCCACTGAGGGGTCAAACTCAAAAGTTTAAGACATCAAATGTTCACGCAAAAGATCATGTATTTGGCTTTATACATTCTAAACAAAATGATTTATAATTATTTCATTCAAATTTTTTATCTTAGTATTATGCTTAAAAATACCCTTAATTTTGTAACTAGGTGTAAGAAAAAACTTTACATCAGAAATGTTTTTCTAACTCTATTTTTTAACTCACTGAAAAGTCGATATCATCTAATATTCAAAAATCTGATGCTTTGTAAATTACAAAGTATTTCTTTATTGGATACAAAAATAAATACTTGTTTATATCGAATAAACCATACAATAATCATGTTAATTAAAATCCCATCCAACTGCGTGCTCCGATATTTCACTTTGGCCATTTTGATAATCGCAAAAAGCACCTATTGCTACGAGATTTAACATTTCACTCTAACCATGTTGTGCAAACTGTAAAAGCGTTTACTGCTGAATGCTCTAACACTTTGTTCTGGCTATCTAGCGGAGAGCGTAAAAGCACTTACTCTAACACTTTGTTCTGGCTATCTAGCGGAGAGCGTA